GTTTAACTTCAACACACACTATAATTCACAACGATTCACGCACTTTACTTACGACTTGACTCGATTATCTGTTTCTGTCTCTTCAATCTGCAATTATTCATGCTGTCAGTTCTTTTGCCGGCTTATATATACAAAAATAGAGGGCGCATAGAGAAAACTAGAGGTGCCACGAACAGACAAGATCCTTCTAGAATCTCATGACGTGTTATTAGCGTCACGTGACTTCCGCTGTTGTAACACACTAAATTATAGTTTGTTCGGCATCAGACCAAACTAAGTTAGTTTGATATCACTAAATTATAGTTTATTCGGCATCAGACCAAACTAAGTCAGTTTGACATCACTAAATTATAGTTTGTTCGGCATCAGACCAAACTAAGTTAGTTTGATATCACTAAATTATAGTTTGTTCGGCATCATACCAAACTAAGTTAGTTTGATATCACTAAATTATAGTTTGTTCATCATCAAATCAAACTAAGTTAGTTTGATATCACTAAATTATAGTTTGTTGGCATCAAACTAAGTTAGTTTGATATAACTAAATTATAGTTTGTTCGGCATGAAACTAAGTTAGTTTGATATCAACCTCTTAAGCTTTAGAGCTTCTTTAGACAATAATTTTTCACATTACCTGGTTGGTTTTAGTGCAAAGTCATATCGATATTTTAGCATTGAAAGATTGTAAACTTACTCCTGACCCACCAAGGGACAATTTTTGTTGTATACTAAATGATAGTCACACTATTCTACCATCAGAGCTTACATAATAATTTATTTGTGCCACCCTCCAACCCCCGATCAATTAACATCTGTTGCCAAATGGTTCAGAGAACAAAGTCTTACTCAACAGATGGGTTTATTTTTGGTGAAGGGCAGGTATCATCTGAACTAAATAAAGATACTTGAACAAGCCTGTATATTCAATGCTTATAACAAATGAAATTCTCTTTTCTAGCCATCAATCACCAGGACCATTCTAGGAACTCAGCCATCAGTTTTCTTGTACTGTAAGTCAGTAGAACAAGTTCAAGATGTCATTAAACGTATGTATATCAAGATGTGTTTTATACTTTAATAATTTGATTTTGATCTCTTGTAACTTCCAATTCCAAAACATACATACCATCTGCAGACACATAGCTATTCCTCGATCTTCACTTTGCCCATCTAAGCATTGATGTCACTTGCTTCAGTCTTTTATACCCCACTTAAATGCCTTTGGTGATTTTTGGCCTTGTAACATTCTTCACGTACGTCAATGCACCCTCTATCCTGGTGCTGTATATAAGCACCTCACTCAGACAATGTAACTATTTTTTCTCTACAAAGCATTTGGTCACCGTTTTCTCTGTATTGCTGTGCTTTGTTACGTTCTGGATTGTGATTTTGGCATTGCTCTGTGGATTAACGTACAATTAACATTTCTTTAAAAAAATTAAAAATAGATGCGCTATTTTCGGGCATGAATTCCTCATGTTACTGTTGCCAGTCTGGAGGCTCATCAGACTTCCACTATTCCGTCTCTGTTATCTCGCATCTTTCTATGGTCGAGGGGGGGGGGTCACTCTCACTTGAAACTGTCTATGGTTTGATCAGTTGTGAGATGAAGGCATATATTCAGCCCGGAGTGTTTCTCCTGGGAGTTCTGGGGGAATTTGGACTCAGTTCTTCCGGCACCTTTCTTTACTAAGTCGGCTTCACACGAGGTCAATTTGGATGAACCAACACCTGTTCTTTTTCTTCAATTAGTCATTCAGGTTTGTGAGATTTGGGGGTTTTCCTCAGTTACCTTTGAATCTACTCCTTCCTGATGGCTGAAAGGTTTGAGGGTGACTACTTAGTTTTTCGTCTTTCACCTGATATTGCTATTCATGCTGGAAGATTTACTGCTTTATTACGTGACGTGATAGATATACCTTGTACCCTCATTTATCTGTTTGTATGCTTTGGCATCACCATCACCAGGTGAATGTATTGTTACGCCTCCGTTCGTTAGTTAATTTTCCGTAAAAATTCTTTCCGAAGAAACTTTAGCAATACAAGTCTTTTCATAAATAAAACTGGTTTATTCTTTCTAAATACAACTTTGCAATACACTTAATTTCCATGGTCACGCTATAACAAACGCTATAATTCACAACGAACGTCTCACGTGCTCAAAAATATGTCTCTCTCTGTCCACAGTTCAATTACACATTACATTATATTGTTGCCGTCACGTCTTGACCATCTTATATATAAAAGAATACCGAACCTAGTAAACGCTAGAGCATTCAGGAAGGGACGTGAACGTTCCAGAAGTTCATGACGTGTTACTAGCGCCACGTGACTTCCCCTGTCGTATCAGTATATTTCGATTCCATAGACTAAATTTGCTTTTGTATATGTGGGGTTCCAGACCGCACCCTGTGATCACTTTGAACAGATCACAGTTCTTGTATTTGTTGAACCCTCACTCTTGTTCTGAAAATTTTTCTACCCCCCCCCCAAAAAAAAAACAACAACAACAAAATTTTGTTGGAAGCCTATCAAGTTTTACAGCTGTTGGAGAACCAGACCCAGCATTCGAAAACTATGAAGAAAGGACCAACAAAGGGGAAACCAGACTACTAATAATTATAAACCAAGAGAAAGCTAAGAAATTGATGTTGTTCTTCCAGTAGTTCCCTTTTTATCTGTTCATGAAACATGAAATAAGTTTATGAGAAGGAACTGAAGTAATATGAAAGTTATTCAATAAACAATGTAGACTCATAGGAAGTAAAGAACAATGTACAGGCCTTTATATGCATACAGAAATCAACACAGATATAAAAGCTATCTTAATCTTAGATTAAGTGGCATGTACACTGATGATGGTCAGGTCAAGTGGCACATATACTAACGATGGCCAGGTCAAGTGACTCATATACTAATGATGGCCAGGTCAAGTGGCACGTATACTAACGACAGCCAGGTCAAGTGGCACATATACTAACGATGGCCAGGTCAAGTGGCACGTACACTAATGATGGCCAGGTCAAGTGGCACGTATACTAACGATGGTGAAATTCTTACGGTTCAGTGACTACCTCAGTTGAACTTATATCAACAGCTGAATGATATAATAGAGAAACCAGTAAATCAGAAAGAAAAAAAGAGGACTTGGGTTTAAACTAAAACATGTTACTTGTAAAGTTTGGGTTGTGACAAAGTATTAACATGACTGTTAGTTTAGATTTCTATTTAATGACATAACTGTGAGTACAGAAATAGCCACTAATGGGACTGTACACATACATGAATAGAGAATAGTTTACAGCCCATAATAATGTGACTGTCCATCAAAATAAAGCAACAAATCACGTTTCTGTTAAAGCATGTGCACAGAAATAAGCAGACATGACCTCTTCTCTTAGAACACAATGTAGAATTTCTCACCTTATGTATCCTATAATGTTTATAACAAGAATTCCCCACGGAAATAAGCTTGCATTTTAAATCTGTGAAAACGTTTATTGCAGTATATTGTTACGACAGAAGTAGTCACGTGATGCTGGTAACACGTCATGGGTTTCTAGAAGGATCATGACTGTTCCCAACAACTCTAGTCTTTTCTACGCATCCTCTATTTTAGTATAGAAGCCGGCAAATAAAGTGACAAGATAGATAATTGCAGACAGGCAGAGACAGAGATGGACAATTGAGTCAAGCACGATGGCGACCAAAAGTGAAGTGCATGAATCGTTGTGAATTATAGCGTGTGTTTAAGTTAAAGTGACTGTGGAAATTAAGTGTATTGCAAAGTTGTATTGAGAAAGAATAAATTAGTTTTATTTAAGAAAGGACTTGTATCACTAAAGTTTCATCGGAAATAAATTGTATACAAAATTAACAAACGACCAGAGACGTAACAATATACTGTTACATCTCTGTTCGTTAGTTAATTTTCCGTATAATTTCTTTCCAAAGAAACTTTAGCGATACAAGTCCTTTCTTAAATAAAACTGGTTTATTCTTTCTGAATACAACTTTGCAACACACTTAATTTCCACAGTCGTGCTATAACAAATGCTGTAATTCACAATGAACGTCTCATGTGCTCGACTCAGAAATACTCTCTCTCTGTCTGCAGTTCAATTACACATTATTGCGTCACGTCTTGACCTTCTTATATGTACAAGAATACCGACTCTAGTAACCTCTAGAAGTTTCATGAACGTTCTAGAAGTGCATGATGTGTTACTAGCGTCACGTGACCTCCGCTGTCGTAACACTGCCCATTCCTTAGTATTGTTCATCCCGAACAATAGCCACTTACATTAAACCAATAAACAATTAACAATAATTTAATTAAATGTACAGAATTTATAAACACAAAATTACAATTCAACAAAGTCTCTTAATTTTACGGGACGTATCTTCTTCTGTACTGATTTTCGTCTCGTTGCCTTCTGCATCATGTGGGGTTCATATGCTTCATCAGGAAATGTCCTATCATCGGTAACAGTCACATCACTGGTAGTTACTTCATCAAGGGCTTCACTGTTTCCCTTCTCAAAACCAGGTAGAGTTTCTTCTTCGACAGTGGCTTTTTCAGGTGACACGTCTTCAGCAGCATCATTTGCTCCGTTATTCACTTTGTTCCAACTGAAATGTCCTGGACTGTGCTAATGCTAAAGTCTATTGGCATGCACCACCTTCGGTTTACCTCGCCAACCACATTTTACCCGGAAAGTCACGTCTGAGAGATGATCCACTGTGTCATATGGGCCTTCCCATGGAGAAGTCAACTTAGGAACTTCCCTTTGGTCTTCCTGGGATTATACAACCACACCTTGTCTCCTGGTTCAAAGCTGACTTCAGTAGATCTCTTATCATAAGTTAACTTCAGTAGATCTCTTATCATAAGTTAACTTCATCGAATCAGCAGACGTTTTCATCTATCCGTTCAAATACCACTTTCAGAAGTTTGGGGCAGAGGACCAGCAATGTCAATGGCTACTCTTTCCATTGGTGCATCAACTTGATATAACTTCATTGGAGCACGACCCTTATGCTTGGGTCCCCTTTTAGCACAACATTATTCCACATCTTGCCTCATATCTATCCAGTAAAATCTTGGACGTAGGTGACTCAATGTCTTCTTAATTACGATGTCCTCCTGTTAAAGTATCATGGGATTGATGCAGCACAACTTCCCGTAACTTGCTCGGTATAACCGTTTGCCAGGTCGTCACTTTCCCATCTCAGGAGAAGAATACCATCTTCAAGCTTCAACTGGTCCCATTGTGCCCAATAGTTCTTTGTCACAGGGCTTAGACTAGACACCTTCTCCCAAGCAGGGTGCAAGACACTTGCTTTTAGAAAATCAATTATTGGCTTCAAATCTTGGTCTTTCTCCTGCTCTGATTTAATATCTATACCTGGTTCCATTTCATCATCATCAACTCTTTCAGTCGGCTTGACTTCAGCTTGACGGTACCTGGTTAGCTCAACCTCTCTTTTGTAGCAATGTTTGCAGTCATTTTTGCAGGGTCTTCGGGTCAGTCCATCGGCATTACCATGAGATTTTCCTTCTCTATATTCAATATTATAATTATACTGGCCTATCTTTCTGATCCAATGTTTCAGTTGTCCCTCTGGGTTCTTTAATGATCTTA